TGTGTGTGTGTGAGAGAGAGAGAGAGAGAGAGAGAGAGAGAGAGAGAGAGAGAGAGAGAGAGAGAGAGAGAGAGAGAGAGAGAGAGAGAGTCGTTGGATCCACATAAAACTCTGTTTAGCATGTATATCTGGAAATGGCAAGGTAGATAACATCACTGGTGGAGGAAGAGAATCGACAACAGGATGCACATAACCTCCTTTGATCGGCAAATCGCATAAAACTCTAATGGACTTAAAAATCCGAGGAGAGCGAAATGTGTGACCGCGGAGAGGTGCGAAACTGCAAGGAAAGAGGGGAACAAAGGGAACGAGAGCAAAATCATTTCCTAACAGGTGAAACTTGAAACACAATTTGGGAATGCTTTATCATCAACTGGAAATGGCAAGCTAGAAAAGGGCAGCGAAGGAGGAAGAGACGAACCGACAACAGGATTTTTAATCATCTTCAATCTGCAAATCATGAAGAAGAAGCATCAACCAAGTGAAAAGCGGCGGAGTTAAATGTTTATCTCATCCAGAAGTGGGAAGTTAGAGAAGAAAGGGGACGCCGTAGTGAAAACCAAATCGGCCGTCAACGGTTTCTGACAGAAATCAGCTTAAGCTTCGACAAGCATGGGAGATAGAAGAGGGGGGGTTGGAAAAGACCCCCTTTTTGAATTTTTGATAAATCAATCTGCATCCGCGGGAGAATTTTCAAGGTAGGATTCTTTAACGATTGCGATCGTCAAGCAGCAGCAATCTTCAATGAACAGTGACAAGAAGCTGACAGGAAGACTAGCAAGCAGTAATGGCAGATCCTTAGCAGCTGAATTATGGGAAAAGCTTCATGATCAAGCACCAAGACGAATGGGGAAAGTCTTTTTTTTTTTTTTTTTTTTCCTTGGGGKGATCATGTCGTGAATCGGGATTCTGGATACTTACGAAGAACCCATCTTAAAAAATGCTTGGAATTTGAAATGACAAGAAGCTGAGAGGAATTATTATTGGAAAGTCTTTTTTGTTTTGTTTTTTTTGTTTTGCCCTGGTGTGATGATCGCGTGAATCTGGACAGTTATGAAGAATGCATCTTAAAATGCTTGGAATTTTAAATGACCCACTTCTTTTTTTCAATCACATGATCGACAATTCTGTAAAGTGGGTCATATTGTCATTGTTCCTTGTTCCCCATTCTCCCTCCCCTCCACCCCCCTTTCCCTTTTTTTTTTTGTTCAAGGCTTCTGAAGAATCTGAAATTGTCTGATGGAAGATGATCATCGTTCGGCTGTAGGTTTTCATGACAGCTGGTGCCAGCTGCCCCGCTTTCATCGCGGTTCCTTGATTTGGTCAATCGATGTTATGAATTTATTACCTTGTCGATGATGATGATGATGATGATGATGATGATGATTGAGGAAGAAATCTTTTGATGATGATTGGCTGCCTGTCAACTGTGCAGTGCATCCATTGCCGCACAGATAAAGGGGCTTATGCACTTCCAGATCATCAAGTTTTATTTTTCCCCTTCCACCCTCCTGTGGTC